AACACTTCGCGGCAAGTCTAATAGTATAGCTACACTAGTCGAACGTGTCTGCTCCAGAAGAATCTCAGGCATATTTAATGGCACTGCTGTTGCTTTGTTTACCAAACAGAAAGCATAAACATCAAGACAAGTTCGATCACGCCATATCCATCGACACTGATTTTTTCGCTCACGATCAAATAAAAAAGAGACATTGTAGTTCCACATCTTTGAAAGCATAATACTGTTGAGCCAACGCCAAAGTCGAGTCATCGCAAAAGAACCAATGAAGAATACAACTACTGGCCATACTGTACCCATAGTGTAATAAACTAAGAGTGTGAATATAATCAATAATAATGGAGACAGTTTTTCCAGGAAAAAATGTGTCAGATTGTCTCCAACATGGATAGATGTTGTCCGTTGAAACCAGAACAGCTGATTATTATCAGTGCTCGATACTTTAAAAATATCTTCAGTCTCTTCGATCGAGAGACAATCAGATCCCAGATATTCTCCAATCATTCGAGTGAGCGTTGACTTAGGGCCTTATTCGTATATAATACAATTTTAAAATTTCAGATCGATGGAGAACAGGTAAGAAAAAGAAAAGGGCAAAATATGGCAACATAAAAGTAGAATATTTTTGCCCGAGCCAGGTGTCCCGTGGAGAGCAACCACAATTGTCATGATCTACAAATGAAATAAACATCATTCATGCTTTGTCCTATTGCGAATAATATCTTGTTGGTATTCTGTTCTCATAAGAATATCAGCAAATTCAAAATGAGAACTAACGTGAGTAGTCAATTTGTTGTATGATGCAGAATATTGGGTTGGTAAGAAATTTTTGTCGTTTTTTTTTCGTAACTTCCTAGAGCAATCAAGAAAGTTCTAGAAGTTTCCATACTAAGGGTATATAAAGAAAGTGTAAATATCTTTCGAACAACAATAAAACTATGGATATACATGCTGATCTCGAATTAGAAATGAAGATATCTCGTAGAGAGCTCCGAGTGCTTCTGCTTCATGAATTCCGTCTGGGTCACAAAACAACAGAAGCAACAAGCAACATATCCCATACGATGGGCAAGGATACGCTCTCCATTCGTACAGCGTAACGTTGGTTCAATCAGTTCAAGAACTGTAACTTCGAGCTTGATGATTTATCTCATACTGGAAGACCACTAGAGGTGGATATGGATCTCTTAAAGGAGCTTATCGAAGAAGATCCTAGATTGACTACACAGTGTTTAGTAGAGCGTCTTAGGTACTCTCATATTACAGTGGAGACACATCTGCACGAATTAGCCAAAACGTGGAAATATGGAGTTTGAATACCACATGACTTGTCACCACATCAGCTCTAACACAGAGTTGATGCTTGTATGGAATTAATGACGTCTCATCGCAACTACCAATGACTTTACAATCTTATTACCGGCGATGAAAAGTGGGTGCTGTATGTTAACCACACGCGCAAGCGGCAGTGGCTGGGAGCTGGACAAAAAGGTGTAGCAACACCCAAAGATGACCTTAACCAAAAGAAGATTATGCTGAGCGTTTAGTGGCGAGTAAGAGGGATTATTCATTGGGAACTTCTTCCAACTAATTGCACTATCACTGCTGATCTTTATTGCCAGCAATTAGACCTGGTTGTAGCAAAACTTCAGGAGAAGCAGGATAGAATTTATTTTTTGCATGACAATGCCAGACTCCATATTGCAAAATCGACGCGTGAAAAATTATTGAAGCTCGGATGGGTTACGGTTCCACATCCATCTTATTCTCCAGACTTGGCTCCTACGGACTACCATTTGTTCCGTTCTCTTTCTAACCATTTGAAGGAGAAAAAGTTCGACGACGAAAACGACCTGGAAATGGACCTACTCAACTTCTTTGGCCGAAAGTGTCAGGAATTCTACGAACGCAGGATTCTTTCTCTACCAGAGCATTGGCGACAAGTCATAGATAGTAATGGAGCATACATTGTTGAAAGCTAGTTGTAGTCTCGATATTAAAAAATAAAAAGAAAATTTTCAAAAAAAAAACGACAAAAATTTCTTATCAGCCCGATAAAAATGAGACAACAATAAAATATCTTATGCATACGGACCTCGCTGTAAATGCACAGATAAAGACTTGCATGTCAGATGGATGAAGTATTGGAAAATAATATCGAAACATCAGTGAAAATCTACAGGATCGAAAATCGATTTTTATGGTCAAAAGATGAGAACTTTTGAGTATTCATAGGAATTATTTCATCACAAATTGGTACAATTCTAGTTGCATCTAAAATCTCCAACATTTTTGGAAGACTTCGATCACTTTAGTTCGAAAGTGTTGACACATCCTGGCACGAAATATGGTTTTTAATGAGTGTTAAGGTGAACGATAAAGAAGATGATGAGCTGATGCCTATTGCATGTCGGAGACCTCTTAGATATGGGATAGACTGTTCGATGTTCATTGTTCCTTGTTATCTTCCTTGAACCTTATTCATATGTATGTATCTATCTACTCTCAGCAGAAAATTCGAATGATAGACTTACGGTGTGTATGTCTACTGCCCTCGAAGGATTTCTGAAATAACAGTGCTTACTTATTTCAAAAAATAGTTTTTCTGCGACTGGATTCTTCATGACATGAGATATTGTCGATAAATTTTCTCTCTCGTGTTCGTCTCTGTATCAATATATATTTAAAAAAACAGCGCGTCTCTCGCAAACTACTTCTTTTCGTTGCTTAAAAACAAGAGAACTTTTATTGTTTTCGATAAGGACAGGCAAAATTCAGTGTCATTACAAGTGAAGACTCGTCATTCTTCCATTTCGAATATTTTATTGTTTTCTTTAAAAAAAATCGAATGATGCTTTCGAGCAGTATTGCAGTCAGAAAAAAGCGAGAACTGAATTTTGTTTTTATGATTGTAATTTCAGTATGCTGATTCAGTGTGTATCAGGAAAGATACGGGATGTAAGTGGGTAAGCGTGTGTCAGGGTGTTGACAGGGCGAGAGTGTAGATAAGGGCGAATGTCTCTGAGGGGTGCGGGCTCTAGAGTCTGAGTGTTAGCTTTAGTGAAAAACCTTCACGTTCACACCCTCAGTCTGACAAGCAGGAATAGTAAATGACTATCTGTCAACATACAGCTTCTGTTGAAATACAGATAAGAAGTTATGTAAAGTTTTGTCAAAAAGTTGTATATGTGACACGCTTGACTTTGCAACTAGAGAAATCAGTTTGACTCTTTGGAAAAGTGAGGAAAATCATTTATTCGATCTAATTTTCCTCATATACTATTGTTAATAACAATATTTGAGGAGAAACAAGATGATTAGAGCACCTTTCGATCTAGTTGGAACATTCATTTAATGAATAATAGAGCCAATGAGCAGATACAGACTGATGAGTTCATATTTGGATATTTCTACGAATGACAGTATTTCTGATGTGCTTATATCCGAATTTGATGGACATGAGCATCTGATGGCGTCAATTATGGGTGGGGAAAGTGTACTGTACATTAAATGATGTCTTAAATTTTCCTTGTTCCTAATTTTAAAAAACTAAACAAAAGTAACATAAAAATAATCATGATCTTCCTTGTATGGTAAATTTATTCAAAGAAATATTTTGTTACTCCTTTGGCTCATTTTCAATTATTTCTAATTACAAAGCATATACACGTATATTCATGTTCCTCGATTGTAAAAATAAATAAATACCAGCAACAAATGTGATAGTTATATATATATATAAAGGGTGTCTCATAATAACTGAGAATAAATTGTCCACGACATTTTTCATAGATTCTCTTGATGTAGAAGGTTGAGATTTTTATCAGATGCATATCTAACCAAGATCTTTAATTTTTCCAAGTTTCAGCTCTCTAGTCAAAACTAATGCTGAAATGCATGGACAAGATGAAATCACATGAATTTTCGTACTCAATTTTTGTGACAACTTTATTTCTTGACCAGTGATATTTATAAACATCTGATAGAAAGAAACTTTACAAGACAAATTTGTTCAAAAATGTAAATCATAATAAAACTCAATGTGTACGAACATGCTCTCCATTGCTTTCTATGATCAATTCATAATTCATAAGATATTTCGTTCATCATTTTTGCATATTTTTCTGTCGAAAATGTTCTCCATCTTGTGCAGTTTTTTTTCTAATTGTAATGATGTATTAAACACTTTTTCGTGAACCTTTTCGTTCGATACATCCCGTATATTTTCACTTCTTCATACATCAGCAAATTTAACATCACTATCTACTGATTCTAAACCTTCATTAAATAATTATGCTATAAACCATACAATCAATACTTCATGTTATTTTAAGACCAGTTAAATTCAATACAAACTATTTGCGATGTTTTCTGCTTTGGTAACTAGTAGACATTAAAGATAAAATTTGCCATTAAATCTAAAAGGTTTTAAATATAAATGCATTCCTATATAGTTGAAACAATCCTTTGCCAATCTATCACGATTGACTACGTAGTGGGAGTATGACAAAAATCTAGTGCGAAAATTCATGTATGTTAATCTTGTCAATACATTTCAGTATCAGTTTTGACTAGAGAGCTAAAGCTTGAGAAAATTAAAGGTCTTGATTAGATATATATATATATGATAAAGACTTCAGCCTTCTATATCAAGAAAAATAATGAAAAATATCGTTGACGATTCATCCTCACTTATTAAGGGACATACTTTATATTTATATATTTGAGATCTTCATTTAATGCTAAAACATATTGAATGATTTCATAGTCAATATCGACCGAAAAAACAACAGGTGTAAATCATACAATTATTACGGATAAGCACTTATTATTCTATTTAAAAAAAAGGATGAGTCTGTTTTTCGTCATATATTAGTATTTTGCCACGTATTGTTGTTATATATTTGTTTCTTTGCTTCATAGAAAACGCGAAAAAAATTGAAAAAGAAGTTCATGATGTTTTTTCAAACAGCTTTTGAGGACAGTGATATATCAACTTTTTATTTAGGTGCAACCATTTGTTCACTTAATTTCCATAAGCGTTCAGCTGCCTCCATATCTACTGCATGTGACCCCATACCCGAATATATTTGATTTGAATTTACTCCTTGACTAATTGCACAATCTTCAAGATATTCTCCACCATACTTATCAAGATTAGGTGCTAAAGCGGCATAGACACTAGTTGATGCGCCTTGTTCAACATTTTTGAAAAGATCAACGGTAGTACTATCCTCCTTAAACCATCCCATTGCACGTTGTTCCTCGATTGGTACATCTTTCTGTAAATTAGTCATAATTCCACCTGGATGCAAAGAATAGGCATGAATTTCTTCCAATGCATATAATTTATTGAGTTGTTTAGCAAAGAGAATATTAGCGGTTTTGCTTTGAGCATATGCAAGCCATTTATCATAATTTTTCTCCCAATTAATATCATCCCAATTAATACCACTACGTTTGTTTGCTACTGAACTAACAACAACTACACGTGATGGTTTACCAGCCTTGAGTTCCGGTAGTAGACTAGTTGTTAGAAGAAAATGAGCCAGATGATTAACACCAAATTGTGATTCAAAACCATCGACTGTTTTTGAATATGGACATGCCATAATTCCTGCATTACCTGTCAAGAATAAATTAACAGACAAATAATCAAAAATAATCAAAAATATTCCAATTACATATAAGAATATTGATTGGTAATTTACGTGCTCGAAATTGATTAACAAAGTTTCTTACTGATTGAAGTGAAGTAAGATCGAGTTCCATTACTTCAATTTGGTTGTTTCCTGTTGTTTTCTTAATATCTTCAACAACTTGTGCGCCTTTATTCATATCTCGTGCTGTTATAATTACATGTGCATTTGCAGATGCTAATGCACGAGCTGTTTCAACACCAATACCTTGAAATGGAAGAATAGTTTTATTGGACAAGTTCTGTATTATTTGATTTATTTACCTGATGTAGCACCAGTAATAATTACTACTTTTCCATTTAATTTTGCATTAAGACCTTTAACAACTTCGATTGCTGTCGATTTAGCGTGGAAAATTGGTGTAGTCATGTTGAAGAAGTGTTTGCACAATGTGTTGTGATGTTTTTATTATTCTACGTACCAATTATTGACTCTATTTTTTATTTTTTTGCTCTTTCCTTTTTTTTCTTTTGTTCTGTACTTTTGCGCAAGTACTCTATATAGATATAAAGTGGTCCACAACTTCTCTTCATTAATTCTTTAATAAATAGTAATATGACAAAACGCAAAATACGTCGAACTAATATCAAAGCTATTTACTCACTCGACATTTTAACACATCTTACTATAGAAAAAGTACTTCTTCAGGCTATAAAATTACTGTCAGTATGAATTCTTGATATATATGCGCGTTCTCCTATACAATACTCGAATGATATTGAAGTTCAAAACACCAGAGATTGTACTTTGTATCATAATAATATTAATACACCTCTATAGTTCTAAAAAAATTGTGTTTAGTCATTTCATTTTATCAATTCAAACGATCATATTATTAAAAGCAAAAGAGTAGCACTTTTGAAAAAACTTCAAGTAGAAATTAGTTCTAAAACTAGACGAGAACTTTTTCTTTTGCAAAGGTGAATAAATATCACCATACTTCATATAATACTCTGTAAATATCTATATTGACCTTTTTTCTTATATGTCTTTGTGTGATATTTGCCTTGGAAACAGAATAACTAACACATTTTCTACTTTATGTAGATCATTCCTTGACAAATTTTCATATATATACGATGATCTTCTTGAATCGTTATTATTTTATAAAATTTGATCTTTGTTTAATCAGTTAATGCACATTAATAAGAACAACTTATGACCATTTAACTTGAATTCTATTTCCACTAAGTTTTGAATCTTAAAAAGAAAACCATTATGAAGGCAAAAGTAAAATGATTTTCTTTACTTTTACTTCACCCGAAAGTTAAAATATAGCCATGAGCCAAGTAAGTTATAGCTTTCAAAAATTTGTTTATACTTCATTGCACCAAAAATGAAATTAAATGAATGTAGTAAAGTCCAATTTTGAGAGTAAACCCATATGAATATGATATAATCTTTCGAATATAAAGACAAAATATTTATTTGATTTAAATTTCTGCAATGATTCTCTACATTAGATAATTTATAAAGCATTGAACTCTATCAGAATTCTGGAAAAGAACAGTTTTCGAAAGTGAAATTTATTTCCAATTAATAAAAGACAAATTTTAGTTTAGTAGTTGCATCCTAATCGTTCTTCTAATATGGAGAAAATGATTTTGTTCGTTGCAATAATTCTTACAGTATAATATAATACCAACGATTAAATGGATATCTCAAATACACCTTATAAATAATTTGAAAATATTTATCCATATTTTAATAAATATCTTCATCGGTTTACTAATATGGATATGAAACCATTCGATTTAACATCAAATAATATGGTGAAAAAGATTAGAGAAAAAGGACAATTAAAACAAATAACGCTCGTCGCTGCAACTCGCTTAACCCTCGACTGAAGTGTGAAGGCTATATTTACATACTATTTTACCCCATTCAGACTACTTTTGAGAATATCAAATGTCTACAGGGCGTAACACAACCTTTACGCTCCCCTCTACAACTTAGATTATTAATGATATCATAAATGTATTTTATACCAAATTAAAGCGCGTCAAAAACTGGATTTATTGGTACTAAATAGGAAAGGTTATGTAGACCTTTAAATGTCAAACTTAAGGCATTTTTAGAAATTTTATACTTTTTTTTGGCGTAGAAAATTAAGGTGCCATTAATTCAAAAATGGAGTAAAACTTTTTTCTTGGATATTTTTACATGGTTTGATAGAGCTCGTCGAGCTCTACAAAAGTGAATATTTCAAAAAAAGTTGAGCCATCTTTTTGTGATAAAAAAAATCAAAAAACTACTCGGAAAATGTCAAAAAATCTCAAAAAATTCATTTTTTTTCCCATATAGGAAAAAAACACCCGATTTTTCAATAACATTAGCTTTTCTCATTCCTTATACTACCTCAGACATTTGGAAATGTGCTCATTCGATTCTGCGTGAAAAACTGCACCGAAGGAATACTTTTTCAAATGTCTGAGATAGTATAAGGAATGAAAAAAGCTAATGTTATTGAAAGATCGGGTGTTTTTTTCCTATATGGGAAAAAAAATGAATTTTTTGAGATTTTTTGAGATTTTTCGAGTAGTTTTTTGATTTTTTTTATCACAAAAAGATGGCTCAACTTTTTTTGAAATATTCACTTTTGTAGAGCTCGACGAGCTCTATCAAACCATGTAAAAATATCCAAGAAAAAAGTTTTACTCCATTTTTGAATTAATGGCACCTTAATTTTCTACGCCAAAAAAAAGTATAAAATTTCTAAAAATGCCTTAAGTTTGACATTTAAAGGTCTACATAACCTTTCCTATTTAGTACCAATAAATCCAGTTTTTGACGCGCTTTAATTTGGTATAAAATACATTTATGATATCATTAATAATCTAAGTTGTAGAGGGGAGCGTAAAGGTTGTGTTACGTCCTGTAGACATTTGATATTCTCAAAAATAGTCTGAATGGAGTAAAATAGTATGTAAATATAGCCTTCACACTTCAGTCGAGGGTTAAGCAAGTTGCAGCGACGAGCATTATTTGTGTGTCAACGGGATATTATCTAATTAATCCAACATTTGTTTAGATGTTCTCGTTTAAAAAAAGACAATGGTGATTATTGTTGACAATTACCAAATTATAATTCTAAAAACGAAACTGATCAACAAATTGAACTTTTACGTCAAATAGTTCGTGAAAGCGAAGAGACTTGGATTAAAGAACGATCTAATTTAAACAAAGAAACAATGAGCATATTAATATAGTTATCAATCAAGTTTGTTAATTTTCATTGAAATCAAATAAAAAATTTCATTTTTTAGATTGATTTATTAAAAACATCCGAAACGACAATTGAAATTCAAAGTCAAAAATTTTAAAAATAAAATTGATTTAGTTGAACAGAAGTAATGAAAAATAAAATGTTTTGTTCTTCATGAAACAGTAGATGCTCCACTGACGAGATGAACTTTTCGCGGAGATATTTTTTAAATAAAACGTTCATTTTAATATGTTGGAGATTAATATATGGAATTCGATTAGCGAGATTGAATCTTCAATCGGTTTAACAATGTTTATTTTGATTAATATAACACAGAATTAAGCTGAAGTTTAGTGCTTATAAAAGAAGAAAGTCTCTAGAATAATCGATCTAATAAAATCTATTCAATTCTTTGAAGATTTATTTATTTGACATACATTTCAATCGTTCATCATATAATTCCATTTTCATTATCACGTCCAATATCGAGTAATTGACGTCATCGATATCGTTCATCAAGTAGAACGAAACGATGTCCATCATCTACTGGGAACATGGTTTTCATTAGTTGATTATTCGATGTATCTAATCATATTCGCTTTAATCCAACTGCTTATGGTCAGAAAAGAAACCTGAAATTCCGATAAATTGAGTTAAAAAAAGTATTTTTCTTATTAAATTAAAAATGTAAAAATCAAAAGAGAATTTTAGAAAAAACGAACTCATTGAAGATTAAGTGCTGATCGATATCGATCGGATTCTGATATTAGTAGGAAATTATCTTTTCTTTCTTTCAAATCTTATTTATTTGTCGATTTTTGAAGATATCCGTTTTAAATTCAATGATAACGATCGACGTTCGTTCAAATCACGAAAACATTCAAGATTTTATTCGAATTTTCTTTAATTCTATCCACAAACTAAATTTATTTCTTCTAGTCGCAAGCGAACGAATACGCTTAATCATCATAAATCTAAAGATTCAATTGATTCAGTATATTATTTCAATCGATACTTAAATTAAAAATATATTTCTCTCAATAGAATATAGAACAAGTGTCATCACCATCAAATTTTCGTAAAAGTACATTGAACAATTCTTTATTGTCCTGAATATTCTCCTTATGATCAACAAAATAGTTTGTTCCTTCGAATGAGAAAATTTCTTTTGATATAAATCCAAATTGTAAATTTATATATAACGTTACAAACTTCTTTCAATGCTGATGATATCATTGATATGGATCAATGTTTAAAATCTTTAAAAAAATTTATGAAAGAAAATTTTTACATTAAATAATTTGTTTGAAACTGTAGATAGTTTCTTTTTTGAGTTTAATTAGGTATTGTATTATTTTATTATTTATTAACAAAATAAAAGAAAATGAAAAGTTATTCTCGCCGAATAATAGATTGATTAACACAAGAATATTTTATTTTTATTGAATCAACGGAAATTACTTATTCAAAAGCAAGAATAACATCTGAAAAGAATAATTTTCTCACCAGATAAACAAAGAATTAATATATCAATACAAGTAAGGAGTTTTTTAAAATTTATCTCTATTTTTTTAACAAATCGGAAGACTGTTTTTTTTTTACAGTATAGTATTCACAAACAATTAGCTGTAGATATGAATCAAATCGAAATTGCACTGGTCTGATATCAGCCAATTATCTTCTCGAGATACAAAGATTATATTTTCTTGAGAATAAATTTGAAAAAATTTTCTGTCATATGTCGTTTCCTACTTTTTTTTCTATTTCTTGTACTGGTGAAAACACTTAAAATCTTCAAATGATCATGAAAAATGATCCTTTTACATCAGATAAATATCATCTGCTCCAACTGATTTACTATTATCTTTTCTTCGCTATTCTCGGTTTCGCTCGATTGCTTGTCAATTTCAATCTTGATAGAACACGTCCTCATCTTCTAGTTATTGTTTTAGAAAGGATTTAGCATCGATCAATCGATTTTCTGTCGACTGATCATTAACAAAGAATATTATTGCGTTGGTTTAATCGATAATCTGGATACTTTTCATGCAGTAGACTTCAATAAAATACGTATTGTTCTACCAATCTATCGGCATTCAACTGAACCACAATATTATATTGTTAATTTAATTGATACAAATCAAAATCAACTATGAGCATTTCCATGTCTGTCAAATATTTATGAGATATTTTCGTCTTATTATGAAATTAAATATCAATTACATTTAACAAATAAAACAGAATCACTTCTTTCCGTTTCACAAACATTATATCGAATGAATCTAATCATTCTTGCAAATCGAAATAAAGCATAAAATGGTCATCGAACAACTCAATCACTGATTTGAACATGAGAACAGTGAGTAGTGATCATTCGTTTACTAATCATTTCAAGTGAGAGAATATAGTTATCTGATATTCAACTTTCACAAGTGATCGAACGTTCCTGTTCACCATCTAGCAAGCATCAGACTGTCGACTAATTAGCAGCGACATCTCTCACTTCGTTTGACTATTGTTTATTTCATGTTTTATTATATCACCAGACGGACACAATAGAGTATGTTTGTGGCTTTGCTCTCATTAATTGTTTAGCTTAGAAGAAGAAATGCAAGCATTTTTAAACTTTCGTCAACATATTCATCGTCTTCTCAATTCAAATTCATCAGTTGGTGATACAACTTTCATTGTCAAACATCTCGAAGATGAAGCATCAAATCTATGTCTTTCTTTCGACACGCAAATACAATCTCTTCGCGATGATTTACTCGCGAAAGACAATGAACTTATTAAAACGATGCAAGAACGCTTCAATCCTTTACAGGAATTGAATACAACCAAGGATTCTGCACATACAATTATTAAGTGTTTGAACATATCTCTCAAAGCATCTTCTCACACCATTGCTCGCACCATCATAGAAATGATTGCTCGTGAACATTTACATTCTATGAATTTAGCTATTGAAAAATTGATGGATAAGCTTCGTCGTGAAAAGAATTACGCAGTGAGTAATAAATCACCATTTTATTGCAATTAAAAATCTTTCTTCTTCTAGAATCACAGCTGGAGTACCATTGATCTTATTAAAGAAGCGAAGAAGAGAAAATTTTGGGATACAATGACCGTGGAACAACAAAAAGATGCTGATCTTCTTGTCAAATGGCATTCACAGGGATCGAACAAGAAGAATTTCGTCCCAATAAAAGATATATTAAAACGTATGTGGGAAAACTTGAAATCTGCGGACATTGTGACAACTCTCAAACATCCGAAGTACGGCTCCTTTTCTGATAAAAATGAACAAATAGAAGTGAGTGAAGAAAAAAAAGTAGTTTGAAGCACATTTTTTTTTCTCATTCAATCTTCTTCATGGAAATGTAGTCGATAAATTTTTTTTTCTTTTTGCAGAAAGCATTTATTACTTTATATAAAACTTTATCTGAAGCTGTACACAATTGTGGTCTTTGCTATGAGGAAGATGTGCTTCCAATTCCAGATATTATTGAGAATATATTTAGTAAATCGGACGCATTAGCACTTGGTAAGTTAAACAATTTCCTTCTTCATATTTGCTTTTTTTTTGTAATCTAGCCACTTTTTATTCAATTACATTGCCGAACATGCCATATGAAATAGTGTCAAATGTTGCTAAGCTACCTTCGAATTCATCGTATTGGCTCAACAGTGGTGATTTGAAGAATTGCTCGAATACCTCCACCACCACGATTGCTGCAGCTGATGAAAAATCGTCCAAGCGAAAATTGGATGAAAATGAAGAAAATGAAGGAGATTAATATTGTGAAAGGGTTTTATCTGTGAAACATAAATATTAAAATTTCTAGACTAGAGCATGTTTATTCACTGAAAAAAATAAAAATAAAGGATTGAAAACAATATAATGACTAAAGTGAAAGGATTAATCGAGATTTTGAATGTTAAATTTGTAAATAATAAAGGTCATAGAAGGCTTCTAAAAGAGTTGCTGCAGACCATGCTTGTGCAATACATGAATCTGGACATATATTTTCATCAGCCTTTTTTAATTCAGGTAAACCTTTCCAATCATTTCAATAAAATAAATTCATTAATTATGTTAATAATTTTTTGCAATGTTTAATTGTTTGTTTCAAAATATTTTGATCATTTTGTTGTTTTGACCAATAAAGTTTTGCTCGTATATAATAACCAGTTAACCATAACCATTCAGGACCATTATGATAATTAAACCTATGTGCTCGTTTATAATCATATGAATCATCATTATTAACATAACCACCAACATAATTATAATCACTTTTAACAGATTATTTTATTTATTTATATAATAACAAAATAAAAAAGTATTTTACCTGGAATCAAGAGTTTTAATTCCATATTTTCCTAACAGAATTGTTTCAACTTGTTTTAATGCTAACTATAAATGAGTTTTATCAAACATTTTCGGCGCCCTTTTAATAAAAAAGAATTTTTTTTTAAATGAAATAAAATTTTGTACTTACAATAACTGCTGCAATAATAAAGTTAGGTCTTAATTGAAAATCAGTCCATCTGAGAGATGAATTAATTGTATCTTTATAAAGTTGTCTTCTATTAACATATTCCGATGAATTTGTTCCATCAATCCAAAATTCTTTTTCAAAATTTTCATCAATTTTATTTAACCATTCTGTGAAAAGTAATTTCATTTTTCCACCAATTCCTTTCAACAAAAAAAAAGAAAATTAAATATTTTCAAAATAAAATAAATAAATATCAGTAGGTGTTTCAACAGAATCATATGGATAATGTCCTTCTTGATTCATTTGAATAACCAAGCAATAACAGTTCTAGATAATCCAACTAATTTAACAGCAGATCCATCTCTTGGTGTAGCTGGATGTCCTTTATTATTTGCTTTATCACTTGAACTCATTTTATCCATCCATGTTCCAAAATTCCATCTGTTTCCTCCATAAACGAAACTAGTTTTAGTATCAATTCCAATTTTTTTATTCAAACCTTCATCACTCATAACTGAATCTAATGAATGTCCAGTTCCACGTTCTCTAAAATTTAAAGATTGAATATGACGAAGAAAAACTTCATGAATAACATCATATAATAATTGATCATGTAATCCAACTGTTTGTGCAGGACTATCATGTGTTGGATATAAATGTGAAACTATATCTGATAAAATTTAATAACCATCTGAAACTAAGCATGTATAAGATGATATTGAATATAACCACCACCAAACAGCATCTCTTGCATTATATCGTGCTGTTTTTCCATCAGCTAATAAATTAGGAATTAATCCATGACGAAGACATCCACCATATAATAAAATTAAATAACGAGCTTCTTCATATCGATTAGTTAATAAAGGAGGAGCACATAATGAAATAAATGTATCTCTTCCCCAATTTCTTCAAACTCCAGCAGCAAAATATGGTAATCCAGCAGCTAACTACGGAGTTAATTGTATTTTTTCAAATGTTTGTTCATCAATTTGTTCAATTGGTTTTGATTCACGTAAATTTGGTAATAATAATGGTAAACGCAAGGAGGAAAGTGCAGGCACCCAGCACCTGTTTGGCACCTTCAGCACCTGTTCGGTATCTTCAGCGCCCGTTCGACACCTTACCGCAATTGACTATGAGCACCTTCAAGCACTTTTCCACTACCTTAAGTGTTTTTTCAGCACCTTGCGGTAAAATTTAAAGGGCAGCGCCTAGGCACTAAATTTTAACACAAGATGCTGAAAAAACACTTAAGATAGTGGAAAAGTGCTTGAAGGTGCTGGAGGTGCTCATAGTCAATTGCGCTAAGGTATCGAACGGGTGCTGAAGGTACCGAACAGGTACTGAAGGTGCCAAACAGGTGCTGGGTACCTGCACTTATTCCCTTGCATACACGTCTCTCTTCAAATGTCTGGGCTTCTGTATCGATGAACACTTATCATTCGTCAAACATTGCATTAAAATACTCGAGAAAATTCAGGTTAATTAAACTATACTCAAATATCTCATCCGATCCTATGTATTCTCATAACAAGCACATCAACTAGTCTTTAATGCATTTATTTTACCTTATTTTCGACTTCTATATACCAATTTGTCCATTATTGTCGCTTAGCACCATTAAAACAATTGAAGCGAAAAAAAATGGTCAAATATATAGACTTATAAATAATTGGTGAGATGCTCGTAATGAAGAAGTCCAATGGTTATCTGCTTTCCAAACAGCTGCAACATGTACACAAGATATTTTACGTCGCTTCATAGATAAAGCACAAACAATACCAATTGAACTTTTCGAACAATATATCCTCTCAAAAGCAATTCCTATCTATTTGCGAATACACATCGAAGAAACTCATTTTATTGATGCCTTTTCCCATGGTAGATCGAACAAGTACATTCGAAATGGATCCATTCGGATGATCATGAATGACGACACAAATGCTGTTTAGATCATTTTCTCTTAAAAGCAATTATTCGAGAATACTAACTGTTGTAAACTATGCTTGTTGCAATTGCTTAGAAGCCGAGACTCAGGATCTAGTTTCTTATAATTCTGCAGATATTTTATCATAAATAAAGTACTAGCACACATACACATATTCCTCAACTCATTCGACTTGTTTATGGGCGAAATTTTCGAATGAAAATATCTTTATTTGATATATCGATAAAAATCGAAATTGAGTAAAACGATCATAAGTCGACTGTAGAGACTCATGAGGATGAGTCCTTTTGGGATTTTTCTAGTTTTATCGATATCTTCTTGTGAAGTAAATATGAGTTCAAATGGCGACTATTAGTTCAGGTAGTTCTCTCGTGAAGAAAGCAAATTAGCTAAATTATTGTGAGATTTCTTTTATGAAAATAATGATTTTGTTTTAGACAAATTAAATATATTTTAATTGAACATCTTTGTCAATACATTTATTTATCCAGTTTTTTATATAAAATCGTTAAATATGACTATTATCTCCAAAAAGTTTGCTTTGCTCTTACTAAAAAAAACAACGTTAGTGTTTAAATAATAAATATGTATGATTTATGTTGATGATTGTTGTTTGACAATTCCATCAATCCATTTAAGATAATCAGGATTTCCACTAGTAATCGGTAATTCGATTAATTCTGGTACATCATATGATTGATTCTTTTTTAACAAATCCAATTAATTAAGGAACATATTCTTTTCGTATTTTAATCATTAAAATAAGTTCATTATCTTCATGAATCTTTGATTGCCATTCATAAATCGATCGAACACTTGGAATTATATTGACACAAGTAGCAAGATGAGCTTCAATCAATGAACGAGCTAATTTGCGCGCAACTTCATCAGTTGATACTGTTGTTACACATGCTGAATATTCAAATGATTTATTTGAAGACATCGAACATTTTATTAATATCTGAGAGTAAACATAATATGTTAATAATGAAACAAAGAAAAAAATCAATGAAGCATAAATACTAGTAGAGACCATTAGAAAATCTAGAATAGATAATTAAACTCACCGAATAATATAAACGATGACCAAATAATTTAAATAACATACTGAAAACAAATATATATTTATACATTATTATCTCTGGTTATATTGATCAATTAGAGTTTTTTTTTTGTTTAATTTTTCACAGAATAAAAATGTTCTTATGAATAAAATTTCATTACATCAAGTTTATTGTTTTTTAAATAAAACAATATCTCGTTTAGTTTGATATTCTATTTGTAAATAAACGAGTTTGACGTTATTTCTTTGTTAAAAGAACATTAGAAAAAAAAGTTTTGTTTTGCTGATTAACTTGGTCAATTTTAATAAAAATAACAACAACAGCAAAGAAAAAAGAAAAACGAGGAACATAAAATGAATAAGTTTAAAAAAGACAGAAAAAAAGTGTCAATCTCATAAATTAATTATCATGTAAAGCAACAAATGATTTTGCTCCAAATGGTGATGCATAACGAATTTGTAAATGTTGAAAAACGTGTTGTCCAAAACCGAGATCACAAAGATAAAATCGTCCAACATTTTTTGATGACATTGAAACAAGTGGTAATAAAGGTACTAACGAATATTTACATTCATTAGCTCCACCATCTAATGGTAGATCAACACCAATAACAGATGCTTGAAGATGAGAACAATATTGAACTATATCACGATATCATGGTTTAGCAAATAAAACAGAATCAGAATTATTTGCAGCATCTAAACCATTTAATATTAAATCAACAGGTGATCGAGGAAGATCTTAAATATTTATTTATTTATTTATTTATTAGAGATTGAAATATCTCTTACCAGATACATTTGTTGTATTATACCTTGAGTTGTTCGAAATAATTTAAGTTCATTTTCAATAAAATGATATTGAATAGGAGTTGAATTTGGTGGAATATATAAATAAATTCGAATATTTCTTGATGCTAAAATTCTTCCAGCACAAATAGCATAAGCTCCTTGAACTTCAGTTAAACAAGCTAAAACAACGATTGTTGGATGTTGATGACGATTTTTAACTAATAATCGTTGTGTATCACCTAATAAATGCAAACACATATCAGTTGTACAACGACCCATTGATTCAATACGTCTTTCTAATAAATAACCATGATATTCAGCTGATGAAAATAATCTATTACGTAATTCGAGATTTATTCCTGGAACAACAAGACCTTCATCTTAAAGAAATTTTTTTATTAATTAAACAAAATTCAGATTTTCTTTTTAAATTTAACCTGTTAAAAACTTTTTCCTAGTAGGTACAGGTAATTGAATTTGTTCATAATCAATAGGTCCATTATTATGTTCAAGTATTATTTAATCACACCGGCATTTATCTTGAACTTGTGAATATGACTGTACTATTGAAAAATTTTTTAATGATGATAAATTTGATGGATCAAAATAAGAAGGATTTGTTGTTTCTTGATTTATTTCATTTTCATTTGCTGCTTCATCTGACCAAGATTTTGATGAACGAGAACGACTTGATAGACTTGCATTTATAACACTAGATATACTTGATTTACTACGTAAACAATTACAAATCAATTACATTTATTATCTATTTAAACACACAACTTTAAGAAAGTTTTCTTTTTTTCAAGTCAATCATCTCAATTATTGATTTAACCATCTTTTCAATTTGAATTCATCATAAATCGAATATAGTCAGCAATATTGGTTTTTTATTTCTAAGACACAAAGATTTTTTCAAGTTTTTCGTTAGAATATAATCATAGTTTATGCATCTGATTCAATTCATCAATTATGATATGAAGATGAAAGGTTAAAGAAATTTGTCTTGAAAAAAGATAACTATGAGAATATATTTTATTGAAAAACTGATTCAATCTTCATATCATGATTTTATTTCTTCTAACTATGACAAATATGTTTAATCAAGTCATTTATCCAATAATATTTATAAAAGAAAGAGCTGTTAGTGCAATATTCACCTTATTTAAATGTCAAAGACAATTTAGCTCATTTTACAAATAAGAAGGAGATTGTTTTATTTGTTCTACTTTTGAATAGATATATTCACCATTATCTTACTTAATTCTTGACAAATCCGATAATGAATTAGTTCAATTTATTATAACGAGATCTTATTAATATATGATCATAGATCGTATATGAACAAAGTCTAATACAGTCTGTGACGAAAGAAATATGTTGCTAACGTTCTCTGTCCCGTTTGTGATGAATCGTTTCTAAAGTAAATGTGACATCTGCGTAATGAGCTTATTAGTTGAAGACTCGTTTTAGATGGTGTTTGACAAAAAAAAAAGATAATAAAAATGCCATTATTAGCAATAGGTGCAGCTTTTAATTGTTGTTGTGATTGTTCATGAAATGATTTTTTTATGAATTGTTTTTAGTAATTGAAAAAGCGAACCTGGTTGAGATAAAAGATTTAAATCAATAATATCTTTAGCTTTAATCGTAACATTATTCGAACCATCTTGATCAATTAAAATTCCATTATGAAAAGCATTTTTTAATGTTAATCTTTGATTTATTCCATCAACAGATTTTATTTGACCTTGATAATTTCCAATTGTTGATCCACAATCAATTGATACAGTCCAATTAACAAAATTTTCAAAACTCATCACTTTATTTCATTCTAATTTTTATCGAGCTTTTTTTTTTAATCTAAATCAAACAAATAATTGTTTCCATTAGGAATAAATCGAACAATAAAAGAAAAGAAAAAAAATAAATGTCTATATATTCGCATCGTTTGACATTTTTTTATAATCGAACATATAAAAAAACACAAGGAAAAGAAAAAAAAGGAGAAGAGCTTGATTAAAGATAAAATAAAATTGAAATCGATGGAATATGTTCTATTTAATTAAGATAAACAAATAAAGACCTGAGCTCAATCAACAGATAGAATAATACTGTTCCATTGTGCACCTAATTCTTGTTTTATTTCACAACATAACAATAAACGAACAGTTACTTTTATAGAATATTATTCTTCTCTCTCTCAATTAATAGAAAATAATGTACACAAGAAAATATTTACGAAAATCTATTTACATTTAATGAAGAGAAGAAAAAAAACGCAAACAAAAAGGAAAATATTTAACTGATTGAACATGTTTTATTTGATAAATTTGGAATTTTTGATGAATTTCGATGAATAGGTTGTTTATTATTTGAATTATTATTATAAGAAGAAGAAGAAGACTTTGATGAACGACGAGAATTTCCTTTTTCATTTCAATATTCATTTGTTCCATTTTCATATGTATCATTATAATCCGTTGCTTTTATACTTTTTTCAAATATATCTTGACCAGACTTTTTTTTTCAAATTTATTTTTTATATTTATTTAAACATATTTATTCTTACTCGAATATCCATAGCAGATGCTTTAACGAATTGAACTTTCCATGCATTTGCTAAATTTCGTCCTTCTTCGCTTGAACCTACTCTGAAATAATTATTTACACTTTTGTTTTTTTTTCGTTTTATTTTATTTTAGATAATTAACGAAGATAATTAAAAAAGATTTCGATTATATTATATTAGATATAACTGTTTTTGTTTACTAAGTAAATGTTGATAACGAAGAACATACGTTATGAAAATAGTTCGATAAGATAGTTATCAATATTAAATAATAGAATCGGCATAAATTATTATTATTAAGTTTATCAAAAGATAACATTTGTTTTCTTATAAGATGACATATGTTTTTTTTTTGCTTTCCAATTTATTCATTTAATAAATAATCATATGAATAATAAGATTTTTTATTCTTACAAATCGATAGAAATATTTCAATTTATATTTATTATCAATATAAAACAAATTCTATCAAGTTAAAGGTAAATTATATTTATACTTTATTTAAGATAAGACATTTATCGATATTATATATTCTAATAAAATAAAATGTTTCAGATAGCAAATTTTTTTTTAACCAGACTTTATTAAGATTAGAAATATTCATTGGATTTATCTTTTATTCCGAAATTATTATTATTTTACAAAATCCTTTTCTTTTTTCGTCTTCTCTTATTATATCTAACAAGTTCGATATGAGAATTTAATTTAAAAAGATCTTTCACACTTGAGATTGTCTTAGAAGTTGAAAAACGAAGAGATTTATTAAACAAAAACGAAAAAAGATTATTGATTTTCGTTAATATATAGTTATTTATGATAAAAATATTTTGTTTTACTTATATTTTAGTTAATATAATAAAGAAATATTTTTCAATTAATAATTAACATTTAAATAGGATCTATAATCAATTATTGTTATTAATTAATCGATTTAATTCAATATATTTAAGAAATATATTCTTTTTCATGTTTTTTTCTTCTGATTGATTAATTAATAGTGGAAACATACCCCTATTATCATTTCGATCGATTTCATTTCCAACTAAAACTATTGGAATTCGAAAAAAAAAAAATATTCATTCTATAAAAAAATCTTTCTTTAAACAAAATTGAATTAACCTTGTAACGGTACTTGTCGACATAATTTTATCTCGAAATTTTTCAAACCATTTTAAAACTAAAAATGAATAAAAATAAAAGTAAAATAAATAATTAAATAAAACCTTTGTAAATCATCAATAGCATAAACAAGAATATAAACATCACTATTTTCAAAATCTATATGATTTATTGTATATAAATCGGATCGAGCATTATCAATTATTGTTAATTCTTATTCTTGTCCATTAATAATACATTGATGTTGAAGATCTTTAGTTAAGAGAAACAAAAATACACATGAATTTTTAAATAAATAAAAAAATATTTTAATTAACTTGTTTTTATATTTGGATCATATTCATTATAAAAATGTTTATAAACAAAATGATGTACAAGAGAAGATTTTTCAACACCTGGAAAACCCAATAATGCTATTTGTCGATGTCGACGCATTTTTATTTAATTTATCTTAAATAAGGGTGTGAGTGGGTGTGGGTGTGATTAAATAGAAGAATAACACCCACAGCAACAGTACAAATAATGTCAGTGAAAGATATTCCACATGAAGCAAAAAAAAATAATTTTATTGTTGAAAAAAACTAAAAAATTGGTGAAATATGTGAAGCTGGTAAGTATATGAGTCTATATTTAATTGGTCTGTTTCTATTTTTTATCTTTTATCTTGTTTTTTAGACTAGTCTGAATCAAGAAATCAAGGCAGCTGGAGGTACTACACTCCATCAAGCTTGCATCGTTAGATGGTTGTCTCTATCTGATTTACTAGAGTCGCTAATCAAGTCTTTCAAAATTACAAAGAAATTATTATATGGTAAACAAAAGCTACATATGATTAATGCTTTAGATGAACAATATTTGAAACAATTAGTTCTTCTCTTAAAACCATTTAAACACATGATGACGATTATTCAATGTGGTAATTCACCTTCTCTTCATTTAGTTTCGTTGTGTTATATGACATTAAAAGAAATATAACAAAGAAAATAGTGATCAATTTGGAGACGATCAAAATTCAGAAAATTTATATGATGATGATTTAGAACATGAATTACAAGGTAACCATTTATAGACGAATCTGCAGCTTTAGAAATATTGATGCTTTCTTTCGTTTTAGGAATAACATGGTTTCGTGAACGGCTCTTATTATTATTAAAAGAGATGTTTGTATTGGATATTCGTCATGTTGTAGCCACATTACTACATCCACTTTATAGATCATTAAAAAAATTTCCAGATTATATAAAAAAACCAATGTCATCAATACATACGTCGTCAAATTCGATTATTAAAAGCAGAAGCAGAAACAGAAGAACAATTACAACAAACATTAGAGCCACCAAAAAAGAAATTAAAAGGTGATAAAAATCTTTTTAGTCGATTTGAATCTGGAAATTGTGACGCAGAAACATGAAAAATAATAAAAGTGGTTCTGAAAGTGATGAATATGGATTCAATATCAAGAAAGGTGATGAACTTGATCGATATTTACTATTGGAGTTTGATAAAAACAAACAGTATACTGAACCATTATAATTCTGGAAGGACTACCAAAATCAATTTCCTTTTCTTTCGAAATATGCACGATCCATATTTTTCAATATCCGCCACGACAACAAATGTTGAACGTGAGTTTTCAACAGCAGGATACGTATTGAACCAACGACGATCAAGTTTGAAGCCAGAAGAGGTTAACAAAATTTTGTTCGTCAGATCCATGAAAAAACAATTACAAAATGATTAAAAACATTTTTTCTTTCATAATTTTCTCTGTTAATCCTAGTTCATTATTATTTGTTGTTAATCATAATGCTTTTTTTTCTTGGATTACTTTACAAATAAAAAATAGTACTGGAGTTTATATATAAACATTACAATATCTTTTTTTCTCTGCAGGACATCCTGCCCTGTAGCACAGCACAGGGCAGAGCAGGACAGGAAAAAACTTTTGGAATGCTATTTTTTCAAGACAGGGCAGGACAACTTAGGGAAGAGAACCAGGACATGGCAGGGCAAAAAAGTGTGTCCTGCGAACACCTCTGGTATGGGCATATCTTTCTATTTAACGTTATTCTCTCATTGTTTTCATCTTCCACATTTATATACGTTGCACCCTTTGTCTTTTTTCATCATATCTACTATTTCCAACAATCTCAATGAAATTAATCAATACAACATTTTACAAATTACACGAGAAAAAAAATAGTCGTGCAACATTATTGATCGACTTAATTTAATTTTTCCGCTGTTCTCTTAACACATATATCACATTCATTCCATTGAGGATTATTTGCTTCTGATGCATAATCGACTAATATTAATGATCTGTAATTAAAAATATGAAAACCTACAAGATATGATTGCCAATAATGTGTCAAATGTTGTTCTCGACTATATAAAAAGATTGTTTTGAGTAATTTTTACGCTAAACTTACAAATATATACGTTAACTCCATAAACATAATATTGTTTCTCGATCTATTTTTGATTTTACAAATGACATACTCAAATATCTTCTATCAACGACGTAGCCAGGAGTGTGACCAGCGGCCAATCAACTACAAATTCAAAAACACTTGTCCAATGCCAAAAAATCTTGATGCATGTACATGTACAAAGACGGAAGTGCTGTCAATTTAATACATTGTATCTTGTCATGATTTAATCAAGTGATCCAAAAAGATCAATTGATTATGTTTTCCATGAAACCAATCATCATAATGATGACAATAAATTGGTATCTTTTTCTATCAAAATACTTCTTATTTCACTTCAATTCACTAATGGTTCTAATTGTACTTATTTATGCTTTTTGGCATAGTATATTGAAATATTTGAAAGTTGAAGAATACATTTGTAAAATATTACAAAAAAAAAGGCGAGTGAGTTCGCCTCTTAGTTAACTATCGCCAATTTTTCTTTAATAAACATCGGTTTTTTGTAATGACAATAAGTTTTTTGAAAAATTGTAGTCCAATTGATTTTTAATTGTCTATTGCTACACACTCGTCAAAATAATTTAGCTGAGAAAACAGTCCATAAGTTAAAAACTCCTAGCTACGCCACTGTCTTATATACTTGACTCAATCGAATGAAGATCTAATTCTTGAACTATGTCTACTTTTATGATATTCGACCAAAGTGAATATGTTGACAAACAATAACTATATTCTCGTCTTGTATACATTAATGATGACGATGATATATTACCTGTTTAACTACAGTACAATGATAGACAGGTCAAAAGATAAAGTGTTCAATGAAAAATTATTATTATCAAAACTATAACTATACCATCTAATGCAGAAAAAAAACAATGTATGTTTAAATGATCGTCACGTATGCACTTTTTCAATACTTTTCACAACTTAGTGTAATATTTAAATATTTGTCACAAGAAAAAAATTCATTAGCAATTTTTCTTTTCTTGATAAATCTCTTCATTTCACATCTTAACATTAGGTCAAACGCCTCAAGATTGAACATGATAAACTATAGGTAACATTTTCTCTCTTCATAGTGAAGATGACATTTTAAATTAATAGACTATTTTACTTATTATTAAAAAAACTACTCCTTTAGAAGATAAAATACATGTTTTTATCATAATTATAACATATAATACGAGACATGTGATTTATTATTCCCATTTGAATAAGTCACGCAAGCACAAATTCACATTTTCTTCATTTATTTAAGAGACATTTCTCTATGGTTAGTAATATTATTAATCTCTATCTACTTTCAGTCTTATCAGATATGACATTTCTTTTTTGTTTTCACATAGAATTATAAGAAAAACAACTTCTTAGAAAACCATCTCATTTTGTTTTTCATGAAAACACATTCAATTACACATATATATATATATATATATATATATTCTTTCATGGATTCCACATTTCTAAAAAAAATAAAGTTTTCTCGAATAATATTTATTCATTCATTTTTTTATTTGTAAATTTTAGTCATTTGTCATAATAAAAAAAAAATTGTGTTCGAAGTGCAACAATGTATTTCTATTAGTTAAATGATTTTTCAATATAGAATTGATTTGTTTTCTATTAAACTAAATGTTTGTTGATTGAAAATCTATTTTCTTTGTATGCTTTTGATATTTAATTGATATAAATATAAGGAATTAGTCTGCGGCGCTAGTATACATGTTTTGTGTATAGTTCTCCAATCAGACAAAATACGAGTTGAGACAGCTAAGTGACTCATCCTAACGAGAAGAAATAAATTGAACAGACGAAAAAAAAAATGTAAAAGAATGAATGAATTATCAATAGAGAAAAAAAAAGAATTCTTTTTTGAATTATTCCAGATGATTATTTATCGAAATTAATTTCAACCGAGATATGGCATTGAGTGATCTCGTACTTGACTGTAAGTTATATCAAAAAACAAAAAAATATAAATAAATAAATATCGAATTTTAATTTCTTATTAAAAAAAAAAACTTCTAGTTTACGAGATGACCAATACAGGTCGAGTTGATATGAGTGATTTTGAATTACTTAAAGTACTTGGCACGGGAGGTAAATTAAATTATATTCTTTAATAGAAAAAAACGAAAATATTCATTTTTAGCTTACGGTAAAGTTTTTCTCGTGCGTAAAATAACCGGTGCCGATATAGGAAAATTATATGCAATGAAAGTTTTAAAAAAATCAGCTATTTTACAAAAAGCTAAAACAGCTGAACATATTAAAACTGAACGACAAGTTTTAGAAGCCATTCGTCAGATTCCATTTTTAGTTTCACTTCATTATGCTTTTCAAAGTGATGCTAAACTTCATCTTGTTATGGGTATGTTTATTGATTTTCAAAAAAAGTAATAGAAATATATGAATTTTTTTTTTATTCATATTTAGACTATGTCAGTGGTGGAGAATTATTTACACATCTTAATAAGCGACAACGTTTTAGTGAACAAGATGCGAAAATATATATTGCCGAATTAACACTTGCTCTTGGTCAATTACATAAAGTAATGTTTAAAGATGAAAAAAAAAAAAGAAATATCAATAATAATACAAATTTCGTTTTTTTTAGCTTGGAATTATTTATCGAGATATTAAACTTGAGAATATATTACTTGATAACGAAGGCCATATTGTTCTAGCAGATTTTGGTTTAAGTAAAGAATTTCGACCGGATGATGCGGTAAGATTTAATTTTTTTGTTTTTCTTGATATTTCAATATTGTTAAATTAATGAAGGATAAACGAACTTATTCCTTTTGTGGTACAATTGAATATATGGCACCGGAAGTTGTTAAAGGTGGGGATGCTGGACATGATTTTGTAAGTTTTGATTCAAAATAATAATAAGAATAAAATATATATGGTTTATATGTATATAAAAACAGACAGTTGATTGGTGGAGTCTTGGTGTTCTTACATTTGAACTTTTAACCGGTGCATCTCCATTTA